GTACTGATGCAAAGGACAGAAAGAGAGAGAGTGAGAAAGAAAGAAGCAAACACCATGGACTAAGTGAAACATCAATTACAGAAATTTATTTATTTATTTGTTCGATTTATACCCCACCCTCCCCGCCACCAAGGCAGGCTCAGGGCGGCTCTGAAAATGGTCTGAAAGAAGAATTTGTTTCCAGTTTCTTCCAAGATACAGCTGATTAAATAATCACAAGAGCTCCTTATCTGAAAACAGACCACTGTGAGCAGGGGGGAATGATCCCCTGCCCATTCTATTATCTACAGTAGATCCTTGCCATTTGCAGTCTACAGTTCAATCATGTTCTTATTTCCATTGAGCCATCATCACAATCATTACGTTGTGAAATTTTGCAGGCAATGCAGCTGTTTTGCTGCTCTGAAGCAGCATACCCTTACCACCCAGCATTTATGGATTCTGCATTTCTGCCATTTCTGGTGAGTCCCAGAACAGATCCCCCTCAAATGGCAAGGGTCTTCTGTAATTTCAAATTGCATGCAATACAATTTGCAGGGACCCAAGAAAGAGTCACCCAGACTTTTGTGCCATCTTAACAGTTCCACCACACGAAATCCTACGGAAACTTGAAAAGTCTATCACAATCCTAGCAAACCATAGCAGCAACCTTCTGGCTGTGGCAAAACTCTACTCCAAATGGCCCCTGGGCAATCCACGAGGCAGAGGGGTTTGTAACTCCTGACCTTTGTGATTTTCACCCTCATTTATGTGCACTCCTTTCATCAGGGACAGCAAAAATGGACATGGCAGAAGTAGCCATGACCTTTCCATTTCCTCCAGATTTTCATCTACTGCAAAATCAGAATGCATCAGTGTTACTTAACCCTGAAATCTGTGTACACTCCAGAACATGCCAAAAATGCTACAACTTCTGCATTAAATGCCAGCTAAGCTCTGCTTGCTTTACCTGGCAATGCACTTCACACTGTAAAAGTAACATCACCAAGAAAGTTAAGTAGAACGTGATATGTTTCATGGAGATCACTGGTGTAAAGGGGAACTGGATAGTAACCTTGCTATCTGCTTAAAAGCAGTACGCTGCCCAAATGAAATCTGCCCAAATGAAATCTTTCGAGAGGACACCCAGTCTTTGTTTTCCCCAAGCTATTGTAAGATGTGGGGGAGGGGGATTAATCAACTGTTGCTGCTGGGACAAAAACTGCAGTCTCATCTTGAACCTTGAAAGGTTTCTTTACAGCTGTTCCTCTACTACATCCTCAAACCCCTCACCCTGGTAATGTGTATTAGAGAGTTCTTTGTTTTCAGGTCACTCTATCTTTGAGCAGTATTCTTATATAGTATCCAGTTCTGCATGCAGAACCCTGAATTGCTGGAGAGCAGGCAGTGTGTGGGGGGGGTGTTATCCAGCTTTTGGGCAGGCACGTGGAAGCTCCATACTCTTGTTCATCATACCTCTTCACAACATTATTTACTTTCATAAGACAAACCAAGATGATGATTTTTTCTAAATCAAAGTGATAATGAAACAGCACCCAACCTCTCTCAGCTACCCACGCCCATTTACGCGTAAGCTTCTGCAGATACTAAAATCAGAAAAATACACAAATGGCCTCATGAAGATGTGAAGTAATCTAGTTTTAAATTATGCTGTGCTTTTTATGAAGTGAAAGCATCACAGGCCAGGCCACAAAAGCTTTTGCCTGAGTACCTGTTGATAAGCCTCATGCCATGGACAGGGCAAGACAGCCACCAGGATCCCCACAAATGGCACGGGATGTGTGTGTGTGTGTGTTTTCAAATCTGTGCTGAGCGCATGCCTCCTTTCTGCTTTGTCCAGTGATGGCTGAAGAAATGAAAAGCCCTGCCTACTGCACACTGCCCTTTCAGAAGGTTTGCTCCCAGCATCAAACACAGTTCAACCCGGGACAAGGCTTCCTAGTAGTCTCAGAAAACTGCCACCCACCATCATCTGTTACACTCTGAGACCATGGCTGTCCTGAGCAAGGAAAACAGACACTTCATACTCCCTTCCCCACCGTGAGCATTAATTTTACTTCCTGTTTTCAACTCAAGATAAGATTTCATTTGGTTATGCCTGGCTTCCCTAGGTTCAAGACAGTTGGATTTCACACACACAATGCAAAAAAAAATTCACTTCAGGAAAACAGAGCTGGACTTCAGCTTAAAAAAAAACTCTCCCATTTTTCAGTGCACATTTTTATATTCACATCTTGCAATCAGCTGCCAGCAATGAGGAGAGACAGCTTAGTAAACACCAATGGTTTGAGACCAACTTCTTGGTTGTTAGGGCTTGAGGCTGCGTTGCTTCACTAACATTGCAATCCTGAGAACACTTTCCTGGGAGTAAGTCTCATTTTAGGATTGCTCCATAATCATGTGACACTACCCCATGCTCATTTTAGGGCATCTAAGAGTATTGTGACACTTTAGATCAAGGCAGACTCAATTCTCCTGGCAGGTTTTGTTAGATGAGCAAAAACAAATGCAGGGAATTACATGTGGGGACACAATACACACTATTCTGATAAACATTAAGATGTATTCATGGGGGTGCGGGGGAATGCCAAAGGAAGGAATATGTTACCCTTTAATTAGCACCAACCAAAATATCCACAAAACAATGAGGATGAACTTTCAAGTGCCCCAGAGCTCTTAATCAGGCACCATATTCCGTACACAATGTGGTAGGAAGAGAGAAAAGAACATTTAAGGGGATGTTGACAGAAGCCAAAAGTTAGGCTGACTGCAAGCTTTCTTAAAATGGAGACCAGGAGGGTATGCAGAATTAATTAGATTATACAGCACTAGGTGCAAATCACATTTCATGATACCCCAAAGGCTCTTGGGTTGAAGAAGCAAAAATGGAGTATCTTCCTTTGATTTTAACTGAAGTATATGCAATGCTTTCTTGAGAACTCTAGAGTTTAGTTCTAAAACATGACGGATGCTAACTATTATGTATAACTTGGCTAGCACATAAAATAGTATTTCTGGTATCTTAACTGAAATAATAAAAAAGACAGAAGCAAACAGTTTTACCAAGGCTCTTTAAGTGTATAGGTAAAGCATTACAAGCTGCTCCAAAAACTTCCCTTAGCTTCGGATGCAAAGAGCTCATTACTGCACTTCAGTGATATAGACACTGTGCAGCAGACACAATCATCCACCCCATAATTTAATTTATATTCTGGTGCATCTGTGAGAGATTTGACTTCATGTCTGAAAGGACCACAGAACTTCTGATTTTGAACAGTCTTAGAGATCTTCAGAAAGCTGAAGATTTGTGTGAATTGAAACAAGCCTCTCAATGCTACTTTGGTGTAAAATAGTTTTTGTGCATAAACCATTTATATGAACTATGGCTACAAAGCAGTCTCAACACCAGCACAAATGAGAGTATATGAAAGCAAATGTTTAAGTCTGCTACTGGCCTGTTAGAAATAAAATATATGCTTTCTTCAGCCCCTCTCCCCTGCCCAAAGTTTCTGGTTTTTTTCCACTAGAGCATCCTACATAAGGCAGCCATTGCCTCAGAAAGCTCCTACTACCATTGGAGGTGCCACAAAGTCTCACGTAGCGATTGCCTCTGCTGGAATTTACTTAGGAGAGAATCCCAGCTCCAAATGAATCCTCCCAGGGCTTTCCTCCCTGCTCTTGGAGAACTATTCACAATAGCTGCAGCTCCTGCTTCTCATTGATCTGGGCCCCAACCCCCATCTTGGAAGAGGAGGAGGAGGAGAGCTTAAAACAGAAGGCTTCCTCCTGGTGAGTGACAAGGCTGAAAAGCCAGACTGCCCTGCTCCAAGACCAGCCCACGCCAGGGGAAGCCTGCAAAGAATTAACCCTGTGTGGACTAAAACAAAAACCCAGCTGGGAGAAAGGTTTTGCTCACATGTAGAATAACACAGACAGAAAATCACCAATTGGCATTCAATGTGTTGCAATTAGAGTTGTTCAGAATTTAGAAATAAGGAGCAATGTACGATGAGACCTTGATTGCAAGAAGTTCTCAAGAACTTTTAAGAGGCATCATTCCATGACCATGGCCCAGCATCAAATATTCTCAGTGAATTATCTGGCTCTCAGATCATTCACTAGCCTACAAAAACATGCTCATGTAAGCATCTGTACACAGAAGAAAAATATAGCTTGAAAAGTCACTAGAATCCAGAAAACTGGAATAACTTTTTAGAATTACTAAAAAGCAGGGAAATACCTTGAACTATGAGTATCTCGCTGGAGAAATACTCCTCAGAAGCTCTGACACTGAACAGATAAAGCAAGCCTCATCCCCACATGCCTTTTTTCCTTTATGGCTGTTAAGCCCCTTACATCCATCAATTAACATATCCCCCAGAACTAAGAAGGCTCTAGCTGGCATTTTAGCTTTGCCTGTAGTTTTGTTCTGGGCTTTAGAAAAACTGGTTAACCCCCTACTTGGACACACTTAAATTTCTTATTTTAATCAAACTTGAATGTGAAGCATAAATCGGGCTCACTCCCCAGTGAAGGAAGTGAAGCAGTTCACAAGAAAGAAAAATCAGGAAAAAAGAGGGACCATTAAAAAAAAACCAACTGCTAGGCAGCCGGAAGCCCCACTAGGGCCAGGCACAAACAAAAGCAATTAATGCCTCCTCCTCTGATTCAGGGTCCTTAACCGAGAAGGGAAGGCAGGACAATTGGTGTGGGGGCTGCGAGCCTAGGCTATAAAGCAGTTTACAGAGGAGAGGTTTGTATTCTTAGGAGTCCACGTAGTCCAGATACCATCTAGAATGTGAAGGGGAGGGGGACTTCTCTGCATAGTGAGGCAGTTATAGAAGACAGGTACAGTAGTGTTTACACCAAGAAAATCCTACTCTACACAGCCTTGCCAAAGATGCCGAGAAGGGGGGCTGGGCCCATTGAGTCCTTTTAAAATCCCACCCTCTGACACAACCTCGGCTGCCTTGCACCCTTTTGCCTCGCTATGTCTTTACCTTCCCATGTCTCCATTTCATGCTTCACCGCCTACGCCGAGGGGCTCAAGAGCAGCCATGAAGAAAGCGGGGATCCAGAGCTGGAGAAGCGGTCGCCGGCCGGGAGCCCTCCCAGCCCTCCGCTCCCTCTCAGGGCGGCGGACACAGCAATCATCCTCCCTCACAGGTCAGTTTACAAGCTGATCATGTGACACCAAAGTTCAAGCCCTAAGGTCACAACTTGCGGGGGGGGGGGGGGGACCGTGCAGCGTCACCTCACTCTCGGGCTCAGGGAGGGGTCCGCTTGCCCTGGGACACCACCGCGCCTGCCAGTCCACCCGCGCGGAAAGGCTGCTGCGCACGTTCCGCCAGGATGGGGTAAAGCCCCAATGGGCGCCTGCTCCCCTCTGTTGGCCAGGCCCTCTCAACCGGACCTCAAGCCTGCCCTCTTCCCAGGGAAAAAGACCCACAGGCGACAGTTGGGTCGGATCTTGCGCCCCTGCTGCGTGGCCAATGCAGGCTCCCGCCTCCGCATCCATCCGCTTCGACTAGCGTAGGCACCGCCTCCAGCAACCGTCGCCTGCCTCCCACCGACCCCAGCCTCCAGGTTACCTTCCATAAAGGTGGCCTCTGGCTTTGTCCCTGCCACGCAGCCTTCAAGGGAGCAGCTCAGCCCGAAGCCCCATATCAACTAAGAAGCAGCAGTAGCTGCTGCTTCCTGGGGGTGGCGTGCAGAAAAGCCAGGCAATCGCGGTCTGCCCGACAGAACGATCCGCTGGCCCAGCGCAGCTACCAGCGCCTGGTTCAGATTATGCGCGGGCCGAAACGGCCGCCTCTCCTCTTCCCTACTGCTAAGCCAAAACATTCCACACCCCAGCCCTATCCCTCATGAAAGGCTGGGCTGGTGATTGATTGGGGGGGGGGGCCGCTTGCGATTGGATGGCAAATATTTGCTGAGCCGACCAATGGGGCCTCCTCTGCTCAGTTTACGGGACGGGGGGGGGCTGCACAGAAGGCATAGCTAAGAGAATGAATAAGTCCAGAGTCCTTCAGCTGGCAAGGGGAAGAGAGAGGACAGCCAGCTTTCAGGAAAGGCAGCAATGCTCTCAGCAGCGAGCAATTGTTACAAATACAAAAATGAGAAAGCAACAAGGCAGCTGCAGTAGCATTAAACTACTTCTGGCTTGCTTTGGAAATTATTTTTTGGGTATTAATTCTGATTTAGCCTTGAAGAAGCATCTTCCTTTGCACTAAGCCAAATCATCATTTCAGCTTCTCAAGGCAAAGATCTGACACTATTTCCCATAAACCGCCCTGCTCTTCCCTTTCCCAGATTGTATTCATCAATTTCCCACTACTTGGTGCCCACCGGCAGCATCCCCCGATTCCCCCCTCGTCTTCTAGATCCTTGTTTGTCGAGATTGAGAAGATACAGAGAAAATCGGGGGATGCTATGGGTCAAAATGCGGCAGCGCAGCAAGTAGTGGAAAATTGAGGAATATAATCGGGGGAAGGGAAGAGCGAGGGCGGTGCAGCTGCTTGTGGGAAATCAGTCACATACTCCTCTGGGCTGAAGATCTGGGTGCTAGTTAACTCTAGTGCTAGATTAAGACCACAGTAGTTTATTTTACACTCTGAAACACCCAGGAAAAAAGCGAGTGCTCTTGACTAAGCCTTTTCCCCAAAAGGATGGTACCTCTCATATCACCAGGTAGTAATAGCACTTCTGTGCAGATTCTAGCAATCCAGTTCATTTCTATCCCACATTTCCTCCAAATAGGATGATGGGATACATGGTTCCCTTTTGACTTTTACTCACAACTTTGCGACGTAGGCTAACCTTACAGAGAGTTATTTTGGCCCAAGGCCACCCAACAAGAAAAGAAGAAGAGGAGGAGGAGATTGGTTTTAAACCCTGCTCTTCACTACCCAAAGGAGTCTCAGAGCGGCTTACAATCTCCTTTCCCATCCCTTCCCTACGACACTCTGTGAGGTAGGTGGGGCGGAGAGAGTTCTTTCAAGAACTGCTTATGAGAGAACAGCTCTGAAATAACTTGCAACTGACCCAAGGTCACACCAGCAGCTGCATGTGGAGAAGTGGGGAATCAAACCCGGTTCTCCTAACCACTACACCAAACTGGCTCTTGCAAGCTTCATGGTACAGGAAGGATTTGAACTCGGGTCTCCTAGATCCCAATAACTCCAGCATACCACACCACACCGGACATCTTCTTTGGGGGGCAAAAGCTACCTATAAATACTTAAAACACAGAGGAGAATTACAATATGTAAACATTACAGATATTTTCTTTTTATTATTAATATTTTTTATTTTATAAGCACTTGTCTGCTAGACCTAGGATTGTATTTTGACTCCAGATAGTTAAAAGTGCTGGCGCCAGACAGGATCTTGTGGGAAGGAATCCCACCAGACCAGAACCTATTTCAAGCTCGTTAACATCCACTATGATCTTGCTAACCCACCAGAAGGCAAGACAGCAGCATTGTGCAGTTGAAGTCACTACCAATGCTTCTCAAGGGCATAGGCCCTGGGACTAGGTATGGGCTAACAGACTACAGGAATAGGTGCTTTATGGCAGACCTCTCTTTTTCAATCTGAGGGACTGAGCACCATCCCCACGATTCTCAGTGCAGATGTAAAAGCCACCACTGGCTCAATGGTGGCTCCACTTTTCATTGAAGGGGGAAGAAGAGGCATGATCTAACACATGATACAAAGTTGGCCCAAAGGACAAGAAAAGGTATCCCACCTTGGCTTTCCTGAACTATGCCCCCCAGGCCATTCTTAGCACACACATTCACACACTCCCAAAAGCAGGAATTTCCAAGCGATACCATATCAGAAAAGCAGCTGAAACTAGCAAAGCAGGTTACAAAACAAGCTCAGTCAGAATCCTGTCCTGGTGCCATTTACTACACTGAGGGCTGCTAGGAAGGAGGACAGCAGGACAAAGTGCTCAGAGCAACACTCTATGTGCTGCCTCATAGATGGCAAAGAGCTCTAGGCCCTATCCTTTAGCCCGCTTAAGTCCACAAAGCTGCATTTGCTCAGAACCATCGCTTTGTTGCCTGTTATTCTGGCCTTTCCCCCACACCCTGGTGGAATTCAGATAGTGAGATCGTTGGGGCAGAAAATGCTGATGGTAAGTCATGTCATAAGTCATAAGAAACTCCAGACACTTATCCCTTCACTGCAAAAAACCCCTCCTCCTGAAGCTGATTTCAGCTTATTATAGGGGGCTGCAGGGTAGGGTTCTTATTACACGCCTCAGTCTAACCTGCCATTCTTAAGTAAGATAGTGGAGAAGGCAGTGGCTTATCAATTCCAGAAATTTCTGGATAAAGCTGATTATGTAGATCCTTTTCAATCTGGCTTTTGTCTTGGGTTTGACAGAGAAACTGCCTTGGTTGCCCTGGTGGATAATCTACACCACTCTACTGACAGCAGGAGTAAGTCCCTGTTGGATCTTTTGGACCTCTCAGCTACTTTTGATATAATCAACCATGGCATCACTTGGGAATGCCTGGAAGAAATGGGCTATGGTGGTACTGATGGTGTGCTGGATTGGCTTCAGTCCTTTCTGGAGGGCAGGTTCCAGATAACTCTGCTGGGAACCTCTGTTCTGACCTTTAGGCGTTGGCCTATGGGGTTCTGCAAAGGTTCCATTATGTATCTCATGCTGTTTAACATCTACCTGATATTGTTGCAAGAGATCATCCAAAGAGATGGAGTGAGCTGTCATTAGTATGTCGAACATCTAGAGCACTTTAATCAATAACTTGTTAAAAATGTTTTTGTATTGTTGTGTTTTTAAATGGTTTTATACATGTTTTATATTGGCGTTTGCCACTATGTAAGCCGCCCTGAGCCCGCATTGCGGGGAGGGCGGGGTATAAATTGAATAAAATAAATAAATAAATAAATTAGTATACAGATTGTACTCAGTTTAATCTCTCCTTTCCATCTAATTCTAAGGAGGCAGTAGACTTGCTTAACCAGCATCTGAAGGCAGTGAAGAACTTGAGGAGGTTATACAAATTTAATTCAAGAAAAGCAACAAGATTACAGCAGTGCTGTTGATTACAGATAAATATGGATTGCGATGCATTCCCCTTGAAAAAGCAAGATTGCAATTTGAAAGTGCTCCCAAATTCCTGACTGACCCTTGATACACACATGAAAGAGGTGACTAGTGTACATGTGTGTGTGATTAGTGGGTTAAGGTGTTCCCCAGCAGTGGACATTCCTGGAAAAGATACGCCTGGCCACAGCCACATATACAATGGAAACTTCCAAGTAGGACAACTGTAACATGCTTCATGGCTTTGAATAAAGTTCAGAAACGTCAGGTTATTCAGAGTGTGGTTGTCAGAATGTTAATCCATTGCACTGTGGGTGTGCTGACCCCTGCGATTTCCCCAAATGCGGGAAACTCGACTGCGCCTTGCTGCACTGGGCATAATGTGTCTATTTTGCACCAGCTATAATATCTCCCAGTTTGCTTCTGGGGTCAATACAACATGTTGGTTTTGACCTTCAAAACCCTACATAAATTGGGTCTAAAGCTGCCTCCACCCACACATACCTGCCTGTACTCCAAGATTATTCAGACAGGCATGGTACTTGCAATTTTTTGTTGTTGTTCAGTCGCACAGTCAAGTCTGACTCTTTGCAACCCCATGGACCACATCACACCAGGTCCTCCTCTCTTCCACTGTACTCTGGAGTTTGCTCAATTTCATGTTTGTTGCATCAATAACACTGTCTAACCATCTCATCCTTTGCTGTCGCCTTCTTCCTTTACCTTCAATCATTCCCAGCATCAGGGTCTTCTCCAGTGAGTGCTCCCTTCTCATTTGGTGGCCAAAGTATTTGAGCTTCAGCTTCAGTATCTGGCCTTCCAGGGAACAGTCATAGTTGATTTCTTTTAGGATTTACTGATTTGATCTCCTTGCAATCCAAGGGACTCTCAAGAGTCTTCTCCAGCACCATAACTCAAAAGCATCTATTCTTTGGCGCTCAG